TTGTTGCTTTGTGTGATGACCTCTGATCTCTGCTACCTGATAATTGTCTGCGGGATGCCATAAAAGGCATTTCAATTAAAGCATCCCCTGATATAATGGATCTTTGGAAGCAAATGATTCTATATGTTTAAAGAGTTAATTGTAAAAATTAAATGTTGGGAGGATAGAAGGACACTACAACACTGCTGTCATGTTACTGCTATAACTCATAAACCTGTCTCTTGACTGAAAACTTAATGGTATGTCCATTATTGTATTTCATAAGGATGAAATATATTTATTAAGGAAAGGATTGTTTCTCACTGGTAGTAGTGAATGAAGAGTATTTTTTCAGAAACACAGTCTTAAAATATACCTAGGGTTCCAACTTAAATCTCAAAACTGTAATGTGAGAATCCATGTTGCTAGCTCCAGAATTGGTTAGACAGTCTGTGGTTTTTGACTGTAGATTATAAAGAAAATTGGAGAGTATGCTACTAATAATACTTAATAATACTTAACATTACTGAGTTTTTGGAGATGATGCAGAAATCTGACCCCTTGCTGTGTGTTCCAGTACAAGTACAAGGAAGGGTACCGCAAGCAGCTCGGGCACCACATCGGCGCCCGCAACATCGAGGACGATCCCAAGATGATGTGGTCGATGCACGTGGCCAAGATCCAGAGTGACAGGGAGTACAAGAAAGCCTTTGAGAAGACCAAGACCCACTTCAGTAGCCCAGTGGACATGCTGGGCATCGTGTTGGCCAAGAAATGTCAAGGCTTGGTCAGCGACATTGATTACAGGCACTACCTGCACCAGTGGATCTGCCTGCCAGACCAGAATGATGTTATCCATGCTAAGAAGGCCTATGACCTACAGAGTGATGTGAGTACTTTTTGATTTAATTTTTGGTGAGGAATGTATTTGGCATCTTGCATATTTAGATCCCACCATCACATGCCAGTGTTGTAGAAACAAATTTTCAGAATCCATTTTTTAGTTTCATGGCTTATGGCACCTCAAATCTCAAATATATCTTGTTACCTAATTGATATTTATATTAAATGTTGTCATTTCAGATTTTGGAGCTTTTCTCATTTCCATTCTGTGAAACCTGATTTTACTCTTAATAGAAATGATGTATTATCTTCCTAAGCCTTTCTCATGGGTTATGTATTTCTTTGAATGAAATGTTCATAGTGAGGTTATTTAACTGTGAAATGATGCACTCATAAATGTCATTATTATTATTATTACTAAAATAATCTCTGTGCTTGTATTTTGTCACAGAACTGCTACAAGTCTGACCTGCAGTGGTTGCGGGGCATTGGTTGGGTGCCCATTGGCTCCTTGGAAGTTGAGAAGGCCAAAAAGGCAGGAGAGGGCCAAGAAGGCAGGAGAGATCTTGAGTGAAAAAGCCTATCGCCAGCACCCAGACACCATCAAGTTCACCAGTGTCCCTGACTCTCTGGAGATGGTCTTAGCCAAGCACAATGCAGAGACCATGAACAAGGTGAGTCTTGATGATGCGACATGTCAGCAGCCTCCATCCAAACCCTGCAGAGAGAACTAGATTTGTAACTCTCACAAGCAATGCTCAAGTTTATAGAAGACATATTTTCAAATATTGTTCTCTGTTTATTTCTGTCAAGACTATTAAACCATGTAATGAAAGACTCAAATTTTTAATGCTGTTCTGCATATTTCAATTTAATCTTTTCTATGAGATGTCTATTCAGTGAGCAGTAATAATGCTTTGATTTATTCTTTACTCTGAAGTAATGTGCCAGTTTTCTAAGCGGTGTTATATTTCCTCAGATAAATTATCTTTTTAATAATGCATCTCTACCCAATTAAATCCATAACCCCTTATCCATGCTGTATTTCCTGTCATTTTACCTAGTATGCTCTATGTTTTATCTGATTATTGAGATATTACCTTGTTTTGGAATGCAGTATTAATCTCTTTATTCTTTCTCTAGCGTTTGTACACTGAAGCCTGGGATAAAGATAAGACCACGATTCATGTCATGCCTGACACCCCAGAAATCCTACTAGCTAAACAAAACCAATTACACTACAGTCAGGTGAGTCAAACTGATGAGTTGAGAGAGTTAGAGAATTTCTGAGAAGTGAAATTTTGGCCTCTCTGACTTTTAATTAATATTGTAATATTGTTGAGTTGTTTTGTTTCACAAATTTCCATCTCTGCTGCTAAAATCAGGGTTGTACTTTAGCTAGAATTTACTTCCAGAGCATTTAATTTGGGCTTTAAAATATATTCTCTACCATAAATAAGAAATCATTTCTACAGCAAAGTATGGAAACAAATACTTTAACTTTTAGAATATTCCTTTCATTGACTTCCCTAAATGTTTTCTTTTTTTTCCAGTTGTCTACATTATAATTAGAAGATTCTTGAAATCTGCATTTTTATTATTTTCTAGAGACTATAGAGCTGTGTTCAGTTATTTAAATTGTCTGAACATTAAGGGTATTGTTTAGGGACTTTCTTTTATCACACAGTTGTGCTTAACTGAAGCATAATTTTGTTTCTGAAAGAAAAAATATGGAAATTTTTCTTACAGAAAATGTACAAACTAGCTCTGGAGGAATCAAAGAAGAAGGGTCATGATTTGCGTTTCGATGCCATTCCTATTCAAGCTGCCAAGGCATCCAGAGAGATTGCCAGTGATGTAAGCAGTTTTTTTTTGTCATGTCTGTATGGATTTGGTAATAGAAAACAAATAGAATGTTTGTTCCATTATTTGTTAATGTAAACCCTTGTTTGTAAAACAAATACTGAAATCCAGTCATTTTACTGCATTCCTTTAGTGCATGAAAGGAATGGATAGCTCATATTTTTAAGCTTGAGATACAAATAATATATTTTTTAAAATTTTCTATATTTTATTAATTTATATTTTCAAGAAAATAATGAGGATTATTTTTGTGCCACCTGTAATACTTCCACTGATGTCCAGGGATGTTCAAGTGGGATGATCACTAAGATGTACAAGTCTGTGCTAGAGTTAGTCAAAATAATTTCTGATAATAGGAAACACTTTAAAATCTCTTCCCAAAATAAATACATTAGTAAATCAGTTCTAAAAGTTCTAAATAATTGTCTTTTCCAGTCAAAAAAAATACTTCTGTGGAAGTGTGTTATTGAAATTCAAAATATCTGAATACAAAACCAGGAAAAAAAAAATGGTTATGACAGGTTTTGCTTCTGGGGTGAGGAAATGTCACTAAGAGACAGAGGATAACAGTTTGTTATGCTCTGTGTTTGCCCATAAAGATTGGTATTTAAACTGTCAGTATTAAGACCAACTCAGACTATATTCACAAAGGTGTTTTGTCACAAGATTTTCAAACAAGTTAGTCTTTACCTTTTGATTTTAATAGTAAATGAATGCATCAAATTTGTTAGTATGTGACATTCAATGATCAATTAATTGAAATTATGATATAACTATATAGAAAATCAGGGATAATGCTGTTAACAGTAAAAACCCTTTTTACGTGAAAATTAATAAAACAGTAGAAAGACCCAAATCATCTTTTTCTTGAAACAAAATATGAATGATGATGTTAAACTTTGTGACTGATTTATACCTGTGCCACTTGACAATGGATATACTCCATTCCAGTACAAGTACAAGGAAGGGTACCGCAAGCAGCTCGGGCACCACATCGGCGCCCGCAACATCGAGGACGATCCCAAGATGATGTGGTCGATGCACGTGGCCAAGATCCAGAGTGACAGGGAGTACAAGAAAGCCTTTGAGAAGACCAAGACCCACTTCAGTAGCCCAGTGGACATGCTGGGCATCGTGTTGGCCAAGAAATGTCAAGGCTTGGTCAGCGACATTGATTACAGGCACTACCTGCACCAGTGGATCTGCCTGCCAGACCAGAATGATGTTATCCATGCTAAGAAGGCCTATGACCTACAGAGTGATGTGAGTACATTTGTATCTTTAATTTATCATTAAAGATACTGGGTCTTGCACAATATAATTTTTCAAATATATATAATATACTTAGTTGCTTGTGTCAGATGTTAAATGTCTAATATTGTGACATCAATTTTATGTTTACTCCTATTTTCTCTGTCTTCCACCTGAAGTGTAATTTGTGTGTAATGCTACTATTTGTTTAATTCTTCATTAACTCTGTTCTTTTTATTATTTGATAGTTATCTTAATGAATATTCAAAAATAACAATTGTTTGCAAAGCCTATTTGTGTGTAATGCTACTATTTGTGGAGTTCTTCATTAACTGTTATTTTTATTATTTGATAATTATCTTAATAAATCTTCAAAAATAACAATTGTTTGCAAAGCCATACCCTGCACCTCTGCAGGAATCTATACTCTTTTTGCGAGGATATTCATATTTATAATTTTTTAATTGTTAGATCACACTTGCACATAATGAACTTTCACTTTTTCTCAGGCTGTTTACAAATCAGACCTGGAATGGCTGAGAGGTATTGGATGGGTTCCCATTGGTTCCATGGAAGTGGAGAAAGCCAAGAAAGCTGGGGAAATCCTGAGTGAAAGGAAGTATCGTCAACCAGCAGACCAAATTAAATTTACCAGTGTGACAGATTCTTTGGCCATGGTCTTAGCCAAGCAAAATGCTGAGATCATGAACAAGGTGAGAGGGTTTTTTATGTTTTGTTGGTTTTTTTCAAATCACTACTATTACAAGTAACCAAAATTGTTCATGAGGTGAAAAATACAAAATACCAAGTAAGATTAAACACTTTTATTGTAGTCTGAGAGAAAATGAATGTCCAAATTCAGCCTTCCCACAAAAAAGGTCTTATAGAATAATAGAATAATTCATGGTGGAGAAGAGCTTTAAGGCAATCAGGTCCATTCATTAACCTAACTCTACCTTGTCCACTGTTAAATCCATGTCCCTTATCTCAGGCTGTGTCTGAACTGGACACTTAGTAAAATTGTGCAGACAGAAATTCACCTAAAGCACATATTTTTCAAGAGTAATATTAAATAATTTGGTGATTTTCCTGCTTCCTCCAGTACCAGCCGAACTCCTGTTTTTAAATTTATATTTTTTTAATATGTTTTTTTCTAATTTGTTAATGCTGCTTCACTATACAATGCTCATCTCTGACAGAACAGGCTAAATTTTTTTGCAGTTCTTAGACTATACTGTGAAATCTGCAGAAATGCCATTAGGGTGTGTCCTGAGGTGGTGGTGCCATGACCATGCTATAAGATAGGATGCTTAAGATGAAACAACTCACAGAGATATGGAAAAACAATGAATATAGTTTTCTTCTTTCAGCAGTTTCCCAGCAATCCTAAAACAATCAATTTCTGTGCCAGCTTAGCCTGAGAAATAATGAAGGACAAAGTTTCCTTCTTGAGCTGTTCTGAGAGAAGCTTTTCTACATCAGGGTACTCAAAACTTGCTTGGACTACCCCTCGCAGTTCATAAAATACAATGTTTGGACAAATGTATTAGTTTGGGTATCTTGTTCTGCTTCAAGAGTAATTTTATATCATGGATCTATGTTTTGAATACTGCCTTCAAACTTGCACTCTT